GTCCTCTAGTGTGGTGACCAAGGATACGGTCATGTGGTGAGAAAGTCCTAAAGGACAGTGGGACTTAGTGGTCGAGCCTATGGGCCTTGTCCTAGTGGCAGAGTAGGCAAACTCGGCCATGGACAGAAAAGGGACTTGGTGGGGATTGTAAAAGGGATATTGGGGAAGGCAGTTCCCTCTATTTACGGGCATCTTAAGGATGCTAAGGAGTGGATCTTGGAGGGTCACTCCTAGATAGATGCCCCAGTCATTGAGAGACGGGACTGTGATGTAGGTGGTGTTGGACCACCAGTGGTACTAAAGTGAATGGGCATGGCCTTAGCGTAATGGGCTGGTATGTCAGTGGTACCTTGGGGTGTCAGTCTTGGGACTGGACACATGAAGCACTTGGACCAAATGCAAAAGATGAGTGGTATGGATGCCATTTTTGGGGCTAGCAAGTCCCAAGTCCTAAATTGGACTTAAGGAGGTTGTGAATGAGACTCCTCCAAGTGGTCAGAGGTGTGGTTAAGTGACTAAAGTAGGATGGAAAAATTAGTTGCTTACACCTTGTCAAGAAAAGGGAAATCTTGTTTTGCACATTGGGGACATTGAATATCAAATACAGTAATCATTGATGATATGGAATCCTCATCTAAAAGTTTTATAAATGTGTGAGACATAAATCCTTATGCCCCAAAGTGGAATGAGAAGTGTACAACATGATAATGGTTGAAACAGAAGTCCAATGAGCATAACATGTTTAAACCAAAAACTTCGATTTAGAAAGTCAAGAGTGGGAGTGGAACTCTAAACAAATTGCTCGAGGAATGAGCATGAAGCAATTGGTGAATGAGTCTTTAAAATTAGACACAAAAAGAACTAATTGTAAGTGACTAATTTTTCCATTCTACTTTACTCACTTAACCACACCTCTGACTACTTGGGGGAGTCTCACTTACAACCCCCATAAGTCCTATTTTGGACATGGGCTTGCTAACCCCGAGAATGGCATCCCCACCACTCAACCTTTGCACTTGGTCCAAGTGCTCCACGTGTCCTCGACACCCCAAGGTACCACCAACATACTGGCCCGTTAAGCTAAGGCCATGCCCCTTCACCTTGGTCACACCAGTGGTCCAACACCATCTGCATTGTGGTCCCATCTCTCAAAGACTGGGCCAACCGTCCATGAGTGACCATCCTAGATCCACTCCTTAGCATCCTTGAGATGCCCGCAGACATGGGGAATAGCCTTCCCCAATATCCCCTTTAACAGTCCCCACCAAGATCCTTTTCTGTCCATGGCCGTGTTCACCAACACTACCACTAGATCAAGGCTCATAGGCCCGACCACTAAGTCCCATGGTCCTCTAGGACTTCCTCACCATGTGACCGTATCCTTAGTCACTGCACTAGAGGACTACTCCTCCTCCTTTCCCTTGTTTGGGACTTTGGCACAACATTTCGGAACACTGTGGCCCTACACGAGCCCCGTGGGTACTCTCCCCACCTTCCGCCTTTAGGTGCTCTAGCCATGGGCTTAGAGCGAGGTTCCGTTGAGCCACGCCTGGTATCCAAGTAGGTAGTGCCACCCACACTTGGACTGGGAGCATCGGCCAGTTGATCTCCTGGGGGAACTAGAGTCGGCTCTTGAACACTTCACAAGCTACCCCGCTTGTCGATCCGTGTTCACTCTAGTTTTGGACTTCCCAGTGGGCAGCTCATCACCCAACACTGGGTACAGCCTTCTTGGGCCAAACTGGCCTTTCCTGGCCAAACTGGCTCTACTACAGTCCTCCCCCTTACTATACTTTTGGAGCTCACCAAACCCCCCAGGGTCTGGGAGACGAACGCTTTGGGCTTTCACCCTCTCAGACTTGAACTTGGACTCGGACTCGGACTCGGCCTCGGCCTCAGTCTCGGTCTCGGTCCCGGTCCTGGTCTCGGTCTTGGTCCTGGTCTCAGTCTCAGTCCCGGTCTCGGTCTTGACCTCGGACTCCATCTCGGGTCCTTCTCGGACTCCATCTCGGATTCAATCTCGGGTCCATCTCGGACTCCATCTCAGATTCCATCTCAGGTCCATCTCGGACTCCATCTCGGACTCCATCTCGAACTCCATCTCGGTCCATCTCGGACTCCATCTCGGATTCAATCTCGGGTCCATCTCGGACTCCATCTCAGATTCCATCTCAGGTCCATCTCGGACTCCATCTCGAACTCCGTCTTGGTCCATCTCAGACTCCATCTTGGACTCCAACTCGGACTCCATCTCGGACTCCATCTGGACTTCGTTGCGGTCCATCTCGGACTCCATCTCGGGTCCATCTCAGACTCCATCTCGGACTCCAACTCGGGTCCATCTCGGACTCCATCTCAGACTCCAACTCGGACTCCATCTCGGACACTCCCACGTGTCATGTGTTAGTCCTTTTGGGTCCCTTTTTGGAGCCTCGCTTATTGCTCACTTCATGCTCGTTCCTTGAGCACTCCGTTGGGAGTTCCACTCCCGCTCTCAACCTTTTAAGTTGGAGCCTTTTAGTCCAAACGTGTTATGCTCGTTTGGTTTTTGCTTCGGCCACTACCATGTGGCACTCTTTCGGCTCCACTTTGGGGCTTAGGGATTTGTGTCTCACACTAACACATGGCAAGTGTTGTGACACATGGAAGTTTCGGGACTGAGTCCGAAAAAAAGTCCAAGATGGAGTATGAGAAGGAGTCCGAGATGAGGACCAAGATTAGGACCAAGACCGAGACTAAGACTGAGACTAGTACTCCAAGCCATTGGAATCTTCCCTACCATTCTTTTGGAGCTCACTAAACTGCTTGATGATCACTTTAGGCTTTCACCTTTGGACTCGAAAACTAATTTGGCCAAGAAAAGCCAGTGTGACCAAGGAAGGCTATATCTATGTGAGGGGTGATGATATAACCACTAAGAGTCTAAGGCTAAAGTGAATACAGATAGACAAACAACTCACACTTAGATTAGGAGTATCGACCATTCGATCTTTTAAGGGAGTTAAAGTTGGCTCTTGAACACCTCACCAAGTTATCTAGCACTACTTACTTGGATACTTAGTGTGGCTTATTAGAATTTTGCTTTAGCCAAATGGCTAGGGCACCCAAAAACAGAAGGTGGGGAGAGTACCCACGAAGCTCACATAGAGCCACAGTATTTCAAAATGTTGTCCCAAGGTTTTAACGTGAAAAGGAAGAGGAAGAGTCTTTTTGTGTAGAGATCAAGGATGCAGTTGTGTGATGAGGAAGTCTTGCTGTTGTAGGAGTATGAGTGCGTGAAGCAGCTCCAAATCCAACTCCAGCAAGAGAATGATGAGTGTGCTCCACAACGACAGCCAAAAGGCAACAATTTTGCTCTTATAAACTTGATAATATCTAGGCATAAGTAAGAATAAATATTCATTAATAAAAAATGTTAGATACAATTTCTTTTGGAAATTAAAATATATTTAGAAAAATACCCAACTCAAAAAAATGTGAAAAATAAAATTTTTATTATTAATAATATGTTATATGGAAATTAGGATAAACTTGCCTTAGAATTTTATTAAAAAGAGATTAATTACTAAGAATAATTATTACTAGTTTATTTATTAGCAAGACATTACTTAATTATGCATTTTTCTTAGAATATAAAACAACAAATGTGTAGGAACATTAATATATTACTACCCAGATCCATCCAAGAAAACAATTATTAATAATATATTTTATAAGTATATATGTTATAGAAACTGTAAATTCAAATATTTTATTCCATAGTATTATGTTCAAATAAACTATGTTTGCAGTTAGGAAATATCTAAGGCTACATATAAAAATATAATAAATACTTTTATTCTTAAAGTTGTTTATTTTGTTTGTATTAACAATTAGAACTTTGATCGTCTTACACTCTGATAAAAATAAACCAACCCACATTTTGTATATCAATCACTTGGTGTTAGATTCCATATGTTTTAGTGATATCTAAATAGGCCATCTTGTTTAAAATATAATTTTCTTATTATATTTATAAATACTGTTATATTAAATTATAAAAGTTAATTTTAACCTAAAATATTCAAATATTATAAGCTTCCGTGTATTTTATTCATAAGGAATTAAAAATAAATTCACTCTCTTGGGAAACCATTAAACAAAATGCAGATCTATACCAATTTTGGATTTTAATCTGGTGATGCCACCAAAGACATACATAGTCTAGTACAACTTGGATTAGCAAGAGCACTGTGCATTGCCACAAGACCACACTTCCCATGGGCATCACAATTAGCAAGAAATAGAACTTACTATCAAAGTCGAGCTAGCACCCAACATGCAGTGTCCTAATCTCTACACCCATGAATTCATCTAGTAAAGAAAGTAAAAAACTTATCATCCTGATGACCATGCGGATTTGCCACAATAAGGAGCAGGTAAGCCATGAATGCCCCTCCTCTAGTGCCAGTGGCTGACAAACAACATGCCAAGCAATTTTTCATTGTAATGCCCAGCATAATCCTCATGGCATTGGGCACAACAATAGAAGTGCCAATCTTTGGGTTTCTGGAGCAATGCAAGCTTTTGGGCCTCAGCAATGCTAGTCAGTGGCCACCTCCTATCTTGCTTCCCTTGGAAACTTCATGGCTGAGGAGTTGCAGTAAAAGGAGAGTTTTATCCCTCTTGTAGTGCACAAACAAACAGGTGTAGCTCACACCTTTTCCCCAGCCCAGGCCATGCCATGTGCCCATTGGCCAGCCCAAACTTTGCAAAAATATTTCAGGACACACAATTAAAAACTGATATTTACCAAATTACCCCCCATTTGATGGCTTTGATTGGATGGATTCGGCAGCCAATTCCTCTTTATTATTGTAGATTTTGTAATTATATTTTAAAATTATGTATAAATATATGGTATTTATCTTCTAGAAAATAAATAAATCTCATTGACATTAATTTCTCACAATCGATAATTATTAAGGTTTTACATGTAACCCTAAGCCTTAGGGTTCTTAATGGCGAAGACGCTGGTGCTAGACGTGTGCGGCACGCTCATGTGTGAGATCAATGCCCGTGTAAGTCCCGAGCTGGTGGGATCCGCGATCCGTCTCCAAGGCGACGAGCTCGGGCGATCGATGATCCTCAAGCGACCGCATCTTAGCAAGTTTCTCGAGAGAATGGCAAAGCTTTTCGATGTGGTGGCCTTCACGTCGCGCGCGCAGCGCCGCGCAGAGACGATTCTGGACGTGCTAGATCCCGCGAAGGAGTTCTTCAGCCGCAGGCTCTACCTGGATTCGTGCAAGAAGGGGGGCAAAGTGAAGGACTTGGCGGTGCTCGAGCGGCCCCTAAATCGAGTGATCATCGTCGACGACACGAGCTCCAAGTGCGTGCTGAATCCGGACAACTTGGTCCTCGTCTCGCGATTCAAGAGGCACAATCTCAGTACTGATCGCGGGCTTTTGGATCTAATTCCAGTCCTCGAGGAGCTCTCCAAGGAAGAAGTAGAGGACGTGCGACCAGTGATCCATGCAAGGTTTGGGAAGAAGGTGATGAATGTGCTCAAGCAGCAAGAGCGAGATAGCGATCATCAGACCGGCGAAACCAAGATGAAAGGCCACCAGGTGGAGGGAAGTGGCCGGATCAACGCTCTGGGTCGGGCACTGACCAAGATCTTGAGGCACCGAGCTGCGGAGCTCAACCTGGAGATGCGCAGCGATGGCTTCTGCAAGGTGGCGGACCTCCTCCGGCTGGATTTCACAACGCGGTCCAAGGTTCCACTGAGCGCGCACACTGTGGAGGAGGTGCTCCAGGCCGTGGAGCAGAACTCCAAGGAGAGGCTCGCGACGATGGTGGACGAGAGTGGCGAGCTTCTGATTCGAGCAAACCAGGGGCACACGCTGCTCGATGCCGTTTGTAGCGACGATCTGCTGGAAGAGATCTCCATAGACGATAACATGCTGGCGGTGTGTGTCCATGGAACTTTCAAGCACGCGTTGCCGGGCATCTTGCGGGATGGCCTCAAGACGATGGGAAGGAAGCACGTCCACTTTGCGGCTGGCCTGCCCGGAGCCGGGGAAGTCGTGAGCGGAATGCGAGGCAGCTGCGATGCTCTCGTCTTTGTAAACGCTGCTCGAGCTATGGCGGACGGGATGAAGTTCTACGTCTCGAAAAACGGGGTGGTGCTCACGGAAGGCTTTGAGCAGTGTGTCCCTGCCAAGTACTTCGACAAGATTGTGGAGTGGCCGAGCAATGTCCTCCTCCACGATCGCGAAGAGATCACCGAGTAGAGCAAGTTCTCGGTTGCTAAAGAAAACTAAACGATTTCTTGACTACAAAGGTTGGAAGCCATAACATAAGTTTGCGGCTTGTGCAGGTCGAGCTTTCTCGTAGCACCGCTCCCTCGATGCTTTTGGGTCTTGCAAGCTCCCAGAAAGCACGTCCACTCCACGAGATCTGGAACAAACGGCATCGTCTCGACGAGCTCCTCCGCGTCTCTCAAGTATCCGGCCCGACCCACGAGATCCACCATGCAGCAGTAGTGCTGCTTGGTGGCTGGCACTCCAAAGTCGAAGCCCATGGACACGAAGCACTGGCGCGCGTCGTAGAGGCGGCCTCCATGGCTGGAGCCGAGAAGAACACAGATGAAAGTGGCGTCGTCGGCTGGGACGGCATCCATGGACATGCTGCAAAACAGCTCCATCGTTTGCTCGAAGCTACCTTCGCCAACCTTGTGAGAATTCGCCGCAAGGATGGAGTTCCAGGAGATGGTGTCGCGGTCTGGCATTGCGAGCAGGAAGGCCTTTGCTCTGGAGAGGCTTTGGCTGTGGCTGTAGGCAACGAGCATCGAGTTCCAGGAGACGATGTCCTTCTCGGGCATGGCGGCGAAGAATTCCTCGGCCTGCTGGAGATACCCGTTCCGGGCATACGCGAAGAGCATCGCCGTCGAGGCGACCGTGTCTTGCTCGGGCATTCCATTGAACGCGCTCTTTACCTCGTCAATATGCCCGCTCCGGGCATATGCCACCAGCATGGAGGTCCATGCGATGGCATCTTTCTCGGGCATCTCATCGAATATTTTCTTGGCCTCTTCCAGGTTGCCTCGCTCGGAATAGGCGTCGATCATAAAGGTGGCGCTCGCGGCGCTCCTCTCGGGAATATTCTGAAACAAATGTTTTGCCTTGTCAAGATGCCCGGATCCGGCATTTGCAGCCAGGATGGCAGTCCACGTCGCTAAGTTCGTCTCCGGCATGGACGAAAAGAGACGCGTGGCATCATCCTGGCGCTTGGTTTGCAAGCACGCTGCTTGCATGGAGTTCCACGACAGCACATCTCTCTCGGGCATTTTGTCAAAGAGGCTCTTTGCCAAGGCAAACTCCTTGTTCTCGGCATATGCCATGAGCAGGGAGTTCCAAGAGATTAGATTCCTTTCGGACATACCGTCAAACACCCCCTTGGCCTGATCTAGCTGAGAACTGCCGGCATATGCCGCCAGCATGGCGTTCTTGGCGATCATGTCCTGCTCGGGCATGGAATCAAACATGCGGCGAGCTGCCACAATATCCCCGAAATGGGCATATGCCGTCAGCATGCACGTCCAGCACACAAGATCCCTCTCCGGGATGCTGTCGAATATCTCTTTTGCCTGGTCGGTTCTGCCCGCCTCCGCAAGCGCGCCCAGCATCGCCGTCCACGACACGATGCTCCGGGCGGGCATTTGCCGGAAGACGGCGCTACCTTCCTCGAAACGCCCTCCCTCGAGTAGAGCCGTCAGGCAAGTATCCCAGGTGATCTGGTTTCGATTCCTGGCCGGCATGGATTTGAAGAGGCTCCACGCGGCATCCAGTTGGCCGTTTTGGGAATATCCTGCCAGCAGCGCGTTCCACGAGAACACATCCCTCTCGAGCATCTCGTCAAAGATTCGTTTTGCCTGTGCGAGCTTTCCCCGCTTCGACAGCGCGGAGAGCATCATTGTGGAAGATACCGTGTCAAGCTCAGGCATCCTGGTGAAGAGATTCACAGATTCTTTCAGATGCCCTCTTTGGGCATATGCCGAAAGCATGGCTGTCCACGAGATAAGCGTCCTCTCCGGCATCGCGTCAAAGATATTTCTGGCATCTTCCAGATGCCCTTGCTGGGCATACGCGCTAAGCATGACATTGAAGGTGACCACATCCCTCTCGGGCATCCGGTCGAAGAGATTTCTGGCATCGTGGAGATTCCCGTTCTGGGCATAAGCCGTGAGCATCAGCGCCCAGCTGTAATCGTTCCTGGACGGAATGGAATCGAAGACTTGCCTCGCGAGGTCGACGCTCCCGCATCGCGAGTACATTTGGAGCAGAAGATTCGAGAGGAAAGTGTTTGTGATCCCGGGTGATGATTTAAGCAGCTCGGCGTGGAGATCTTTGGCCTGTGACAGCGTCCGGCACGATCGAATTCGCGAAACCGCGCTCGAATCTCCGCTGTGCTGCCCATTCATGAATTACTAGCAAATCTGGACCGTATAATTCGAAAGCTTAACGGATCGAAGCCGTCCATTTACATGAAATTTCAAGACCCACAAGCACACTTGGTCGTGGCGCATCGAGTCGTGATCTCTCTCACCGCTTTCTTGTCGCAGTAGAGCGAATTTCCGCCTGGAAGCCCACCATTGCAGCACGCGCACTCGCAAATCCCATTGTAATTCCCTGTCGCGTCCTTTCGGCACGCGAATGGAAGATCCTTGCAGCGAGGGGGGCGAGTGTAAGCGCAATAGGCGATCTCACTCGCGAGCAAAGCAAACAACAAAACAAGCGCTACCCTCCCAAAACTTGCCATGGATCGCGATCGATCCTTTCCTGTGGTGCGGCGAGATAAGATCAAACGAGCCCAGTTCTTATAAGAACTCCCACAAACATGAATCGTGGCACTAACGTGGCACTAACGTGGCACCCTCTTTGACTATGGCGTTCTTTCTTTCTATCTCGAGACATATTCTAGTGTTTCTCGCAATGATAGTTTTTAGCTCTAGCAATGGATGTTACAGCGCTTCCAGCGTGTAGCTCTCGAGATTATCGTACACCTTGCTCAAGCTCTCGTCCGAAAGTTCCATCTCCTTTTGCGTCTCTGGGATCACTGGCGCTTGCTGCTTTTGCTTCATGAGAATGGTGACCAATCTTCGCACTGGCGGGATCTTCGAGCTCTTCTCCTCCATGGCACCGCTCGCAGCGGGATTTACTTGCTCGCCTTTGCTCGCTTCTCTCGTCGAGAACTGCTCCAGGTAGTTCCTCATCTCTCCGGAGCTGGAGAACGACCCGATTCCCTCGAAGAGATCCTCCCACGCGTTGATCCGACGCAAGCACTCCTTTCCATCCGGAGTCTGGACCTTCATTCGTTTCGTGTCCCTGCGGCCGATCCCTGCCTGCTGGTTGAACTCGCGAATCTCTAGCATGCTCTCCGACTCCGACTCCTTCTTCCGGAGCTTTGAAAAGCTCTTGGCGATGGCCTTTTGGAGCTTTTGTCTCTGGAGTTCGCTGTTCCTCGAGTCATGCCTGGCCAAGACTGCGGCCTGTAGTGAATCTTCCTGTCTTGTATCCGCTATGCCCTCCGTTACTGTATCGTTCCTCTCGTCGAGTCCTACCACGCCTTCCAACAACGTAGAAGCTCGCATGTAACGATCGAAGGCCTCGTCTTCAAAGGAAAGATCTGCGTCTGCGTACGCTCTCATCTTGATCATTCTCCACGAGTTTATCATGAGCGCTTCCTAGAAGAAAACAACGTAAAAACTCGGTGGTCAAGGTGATACAAGCTTACCTTCTGTGCGTAGATGAAATTCTTTCGAGCTTTCTCCAGCCGCGCCTCTTTCTGATCTTCGGTTTCCACTGGAGGAGGCGCCGGCATCCGGACGATCGGAGACGTGTAAGGGACACGGTATCGCATCATCTGGTTCATGTAAGGAGATGAAACTTGTCCATTTGGAGGCCTCATGTATGGTGACATTCCCCTGAGCAAACCACCTTGAGTCCTTCTAGTTCTTTGGTTTCAGCCGACAAGAAATGAAACTTACATTCCAGGAGCCCACTGAAACTGCGCTGGACGAGGCTGTGAAACCTCCGGCGTAGAAGGAGTCATTGGCCCTGTAGCTTGCTTAAATCCTGAGAGGAAGAGAAGAAGAAAAAAAAATTTAAAACATACTTCCCAAGTTCCCACCAAGAGAATTTTCAACTTACCGTGAGCTTGGCAGGGGTTCTTAGCCCTCACACAGCACGTCCCGCAAGCTCGGAAATCACATCTAGAAGAGAGAATCCCTGAGAAATCACCACACTGAGCTAGAGAAATTTTCGCATACTTGCCCATTGCCGTGTTGCCGCAGGTCACACACTTGGTCAGCTTCCTCTCCTGCTTGAAATTTTGGATCTGCGCAACGGCCGGCCGCGGCGTCGCCATCGCTGCTCCTCGCGCTCCCGGACTCGCCACGAAGACGAAAGAAGAATCGATTAGGGCAAAGAGCGCCCGAAGCGATCCTAGCCGTTAGGACTGAATTAAATCCTGGCCGTCCGTTTAAAAGCGCTCTGTCTCTTGGAGCCCTAGAATTTGATCGATTCGCGCGAGAAGAAGAAGAAGCAATGGCCGATTCCAGCAGCGACAGGACGGCGAGCAGCCGCAGTGTTCGTATCGCATCTCGGACGGCGTCGCTGCGATCGGCGTCCTCGGCCGGGTCGAAAAAGTCGCGATTCTATGGGCGGCGGAGCCTCAAATTCAGTCTCAGCGATGTCCCCAGCGTCGCCAGCCTCCGGATGTGGAGCTTCGGGCGGCCCGCCACCGCTGAGGCATCGGATGGGGCCAAGAATGTCCGGGATTTCTCCAGGAGCCTCCAGAAGCGAAAGACTCACATCATCGTCAAGGTTCGTGAAACTTTACTTTTCCTTCTTTGCTGGTTTTTATTTTCTATGTTCAGGCTGTGCTACTGTAAATTTGGTCTCGGCTAGAAAGGGTGTCACTCCATTGCCACGAACAGGAGTTCTTGTCAAAAGTTCCAAAGCTATCTAGGCAACAAAGTTTTCATCCAGAGGGTTTGCAGATAGTGTGTGCCTGATTCTATGATGTCTAGATTTCGTTGGATTGGACATTCACTATCTGCAAACACCTCTGATGGAATTCGTGAGTTTCATCAAGGTCGTGTCACTGGAGAGGACTAACGAGTGAGTTTGTTTACTAGACATGCTTCCCGACGCGTTTCAGGCCAATGAAAGGTAGTAGTGAGCGATCTGATTTGAAAATCGAATTCTAAAGGAAATGCTTTGAACAGAGAAGGAATATGAGCTGAAAGTGAAGCAGAAGAGAGCTGAGAAAATACTGGAGAAAGAGAAGTTGGAAAATTATAAGAAGAAGGACAGGTTTAAGTCATTTGCAGCGCAACGGGCATCAGTTCGCAGGTAAGCATCTAAAGTTCTTTTAGTTCTGGGAGGCGATGGATTATGTTTTGTGGTTTTCTCGCTTAGATTCTTGAACGACACAGGATTTCGCCAGTCGATCACAGGAACTTTCCTTGACAACTCCGATGCTTTTCGTCGGAAGAGAGATGTACGCCAATTGATGTTTCTATGTCAAGTTTTTCATTGTTCCTTTTCAGGAAATGGAGGAGGCAGAGCCTGAGCCTCCAAGCGAGGAGGAAGTTGCGGAGGAGAAAAAGGTAAGACGATAAAAGTGTCACTTTTTGTTGATTGAGATGGAGGTTCTCGAAGATAGACGAAGACAATGCGTGGATTGTGAAAACTTTGGAAGATCACGACACGAGGGAGGATCTCGAGCAGCGCGTCATCCAGCATATAATGCAAGATCCCATCATCTTTAGATCTCTTCGGAACACTTTACGGATCGCTGAAGGAAACCGGCTAAGGCATCGCAAGGTAACCATTGATTTGAAAAAGCTTTGAAGCTCTAAAATCTTCTCTGCGGCCTTGGCAGTCTCTAAAGAAAGAGTTTTACGACATGGAGAAAGTTTGGTCGACAGCAGATCTTATGAAGGAAACCGAGAACGCTTTAGTTCATTCGGACATGAGGCATAGAATTTACCAGCTCTACTGTGAACTCCGGGTAAAAAGTTCCATCTTTTCAACAATCTCTCATACATGTGTTCTTCTCAGGCTGCTCAATCGAACAAAGTTCCAAGATTTTCATCGGCGTCGAGGGATCCAACTCCCACAAGTTTGTGCTACTGGGAATCCGATGAAAGGTGAGATAGATCTAAACAACCTGGAATTTTCTAGCATAGAAAGGTTTTGATCTTTCCGCGTTCTTCAGATATAAAATGGAGTGCTCGCTTGAGAAAGAACTACTGTCAGATCTCACAGTAAATCGATTGCGCAGTTAAATGCTAGAGTTCATACAAAGGGTTAAGATTTTAGGGTTAGCTAGGGTTTGTAGATGGGCATGGAAGTCGCGGAGAGTGGATTCGCAGCTGCCTCGCACGAATCCTTGGCGACGGCGAATGGCACGGCGACGACGGCGAATGGCACTGTAAGATTCTCAATCTCCAGTCGCAAGCGGCAGCGAGTGATCGGCACCAGCAACTCGTCCGATCGCGAGCACGAGGCCGTGGAATTCGTGCGGTCGGTGGACGAGATTGGGATCCAGGTTGTCGGCGAGCCGAGCTCCAGCGGCGCGGCCATGGTGATCCCGCGCCTGGAGAACTCGTGGAAGCCGGAGAAGCGGATGAAGAATCTCATGAGCGCGCCGGAGGACAGCGTCCAGGAATTCGTGGGGGAAGTTCTTCCCGCCGGCCCCGTGGATGGCGTCCAGTATGGATTGTCGGTAAGATCGTCCAAAGCAGGAGGAGGGAGCGTCAAGACGGATATTATGGAAGCTCGCGAGCTCCGCGCGAAGCTGGACAAGGAAGCGCTGGTGGATCACCTGGAATTCCTCCCCGAGTCGGCGTCTCTGGCGGCCTATGATGCGATGCCGGTGGAGAAATTTGGGCAGGCGCTGCTGCTGGGGATGGGCTGGAGAGATGGGCGAGGGATTGGGCGGAGAGCCACCGAGGACGTCAAGGCCACCGAGTTTGTGAGGAGGCCCGAGCGGCTGGGTCTCGGGGCAGTGCCAGCTCCAAAGGAGGAGAAGAAGAAGAAAGTCATCAAGCCGGGCGAGAGCAGGGAGGCCAAGCCAGATCTAGTAGCTCCGGTTGGGCCGGATGGGAAGGTTCGTCACAGGGTGGAGATTGGCGAGAAGCTCGTCGAGAGGGCCAAGAGGGGAGTTTACGGTGGCAAAGTCATGACCATCGTCTCGGGGAGGCACGCTGGGCTGAGGGGCGAGGTTCTGGGTCGCAAGGACAAGGTGGCGAATCCGGGAGAGGTGGTGGGGGTGAAGCTGGCTGGTAGCGGCGAGACGGTGGAGGTGGATGCCAAGAACTTGGCGGATGTTGGCTCCGTCGAGGAGGAGAACGCGATGAAGAGGCTCAAGGAGCTGAGGATCCAGAGGGGCGATGGTGGTGGTGACGACGAGAGAGCGAGGCCCTGGCTGAGGAGCCAAATACGAGTGAGGGTCGTTAGCAAGCGGTTTCAAGGCGGGAGGCTCTACCTCAAGAAGGGGCGCGTGATCGACGTGGTGGCTCCGACGGTGTGCCATATTGTCTTGGACGAGAGCGGTGATCTTGTGGAGGAGGTGAAGCAGGAGTACTTGGAGACCGCGATTCCAAAGCCGGGCGGGCGTGTGATCGTCGTTGGAGGGAAGCTGAGGGGATCCATTGGGAAGCTGCTGGAGCGGGACAGTAAGAAACAGGTTGCGGTGGTCCAGATGGAGGAGAGCTTTGAGATGGCCACTCTCGACTTGGACCACCTTGCGGAGTTTACTGGCGATGGCGCTTGATCTCGACTGAGAACTGGTAAGAAAGAAAAGCAGCAAAGAGAAAGAGAAATACTTCATACGCTTACTAACTGCGTTGTGCTTGATCAGATGTTTCGCTCTTGGACTAGAAACCATCATTTCTTTGGCCACTGGGGGCACACTATCTGCGCAAAATCGAGCCGGTTTGATTGCCAGTGGTGAGCTATCATACCTCTAAGGTTGTGAAAGCTAATCGCATCCGATCGGCCACTAGCGATGCTTCCTCGGCTCGTCCTAACACCGCCATTTGTTCCAGCTGCAGTGTTTTCACTGGTAGCCTAGAGAAGAGAAGAGATGAGAGATTGAAGTTATGGAGTTTATTTACCAGGCCATTCCCCTGTTGTAGTACGCGTTGGCGATAATGGAACAAAATCCTTTCCATTCTAAAAGAGACTCGGCTGTAACTGCCGCAGTTGTAGACCATCGTATCACTGTTGGTGGCGGGCTTGACATGATCGATGTAAAGACGATGATCACCCAAAGTATACATTCTTCTACCTGGAAAAAGATTTGAAGAACACAAGAAATATGTGAAGAACAATGGCGAGAACTTGTTCTACCTCTTTGGAAGTGATATTGGAATTCAAGAGCTCTTTTCTCAGGCCTTCTTCCGTGCAGCCGATCGCGTAAGCAGTCACTACAGCAGTTATGAAATCCTGCGCATAGGATTCCTGATCGATTGATTGATCGTGTCTTTGATCTTCTCGTTCTTACCTGGAGATTGTTGCTGAATCCTCCTTGCACGACTTTCTTGTAGCGCTGGTGGAGTCCCAACGCAATGCTTGCCGTGGAGCGAAATTCATCGTCGTAGGATCTTTGCGACCGCTGCCGAGAAGCAATCACGAAACATGGATGAGATTAGTGGAGAAAATCTTCGTACCGAGACGATCAAGCCTCGCAAGTCGTGCTGGCGGAGCGTCGAGAAGAGCCGGCTGTTGACGAGGAACGCGGCGGGGATCTTCCGCCTAGGGCAATTCTCCTGGAGCATCGACCATCGCGCGGCGCTCGCGAATTGGAGGCGGCCGCAGCATTGAAGAGCGGCGATTTGCATATCTTCTCCTCAGCAAGAATTTCTCTACCATTCCCCACCTCGAAGTCCATTTTAAATTGGTGTCCATGTTTATCCGTACGCAGCTAGGGTGGCCACTGGCCCATTCGTACATGGCGCCAAAATGTTGGCGGGCGCTAGCTTTAGCAGCACAATCTCAGCTCTTCGAAAGTGCCCTAGTAGCGCTCGCCCTTCTCTCTCTCTCTCTCGATCTCTGGATTGATTTGTAGCGCTCCTCTTCTCTCGATTTTGGCGCCCGTCTAGCTATCGATTCTCGATTCCACAGCTGCTTGGGCGCTTCTTGATGGGATTTTGATCCGTCTGGGCGATTTCGATGGACAACTATGTGAAGCTGGAGAAGGTCGGCGAGGGCACCTACGGCAAGGTCTACAAGGCTCGCGACAAGAACACCGGGCGATTGGTGGCGCTCAAGAAGACCCGCCTGGATATGCAAGACGAGGGCGTCCCTTCCACCGCATTGCGCGAAGTGGCGCTTCTCCATATGCTCTCTCAGAGCCTCTACGTTGTGAGGTATGATTTTTTCGCTGGAAGCTTGCAAATTTGTGTTCTTCCTTTTTTTTCTTGCTACCAGGCTCTTGAGTGTAGAACACATAGACAAAGGCGGCAAGCCTTTGCTATATCTCGTGTTTGAGTACCTGGACACGGATCTTAAGAAGTACATGGACTTTACCAATCGCCGCAAGCCTTTCGGCATGGACCACTTCAGAACAATCAAGGTAGATTTTTTCTCTTGGTTTTTATCTCTCGATTGATCGAGTTTTATTTCCAGCATTTGATGTACCAGTTGTGCAAGGGCGTCTCGCATTGTCACAGCCATGGTGTCATGCACAGGTTAGCGTAAAGTTTCTGTCTATCTCGTTGTTGATCCTTGCATTTTCCAGGGACCTTAAGCCGCAGAATTTGCTCGTGGACCAAGATAAAGGTCTTCTCAAGATCGCAGATCTTGGGCTTGGACGAGCTTTCACCGTTCCACTCAAGAGCTACACACACGAGGTTTGCTCACGCATAGTTATCTCTTCTTTTTTTTCCCTGCTTACACTCTCTTATTTAGATTGTTACGCTCTGGTACAGAGCTCCGGAGATACTTCTCGGAGCTTCACACTACTCCGTCCCCGTGGACATGTGGTCCGTCGGGTGTATATTTGGTGAGTCGAGGCTCGTGGAATTTTCTGATAGCTAGAACTTACTTTGACTTTTGTCCAGGCGAGCTAGCAAAGCGATCCCCTCTTTTCCCAGGCGACTCGGAGCTACAACAATTGCTCCACATATTCCGGTAAAACTTTCCCGAAACTGTGATTACTTGCTCACCCGCCTCTGCAAAAAAGATTGCTGGGAACTCCAAGCGAAGAGGTGTGGCCGGGAGTCACAAAACTCCGGGACTGGCACGAGTATCCCAAGTGGAGCCCTCAAAAGCTGGAGCTCGTCATTCCAGGCCTTGATCAGCAAGGCCTCGACTTACTCCAGGTAAGTATGATGTGAGATTGTGGATCCATGGTTCCAAGTGTTAATTCTTTTCTTTCGTCACAGCAAATGCTCATCTATGATCCAGCAAAGAGAATTTCTGCCAAGGCTGCGCTACAACACTCGTATTTCGACGACGTTGATGAATCCCAGTTTTGATCGCTAGGAGGGAAAACCACTCTAATGTTTATGGATGGATAGAAAGGAAATAAAGGTTAAAAGGGGGTTTTCCAAAACTTTCTAGGGTTTGATGGACGGGGAGCTGTTGATCGTGCCCGGGACGAGCATGCCGCAGATGATCCAGCCGCCGCCGGCGCTGGACGGCGGCGACGATCATCCCAAGCGCAAGCCAGCTAAGAAGTGGTTCAAGGAGTGGTACGCATTCTTGCTGTTGATCCTTGTCTCTCCAATTCTCCAGCGTTTGTGAGCTCCCAATCTCGTCTTCTTGGTGCTCCAGGGTCCCGCAAGACACTGTGCTGAGCACTGGGAAGTGCCGGCTGCTCAAATGGATCAATGGTGAGCGAATTCTCTCCAGATTCTCCTCGTAACTCCTCCTTGCTCGTCTTTGTTTCGTGTTGTGACGATTGATGGTTGGTTTTCTTTCCAGATGATACGATGAATCTCATGAAAACGAAGCATCTGGACCAGGACGCCGACTTGGACTACGAGATCGTCTACGTTTGCACATTCGAGAACTGCGGCAAAGTTTTTACCGAGGCTCCGGCACTGCGGAAGCACGCTCATGTTCATGGAGAGAAGCAATTCATCTGTCACTACGATGGTTGTGGCAAGGTACGTTCTCGCTCAACAATCTAATGCTCTTCTAGAAAATCCTTCTTTTTTCTTCGTCCTGCGTGTCCACAGAGATTCGTGGACAGCTCCAAGCTGAAGAGACACTTCCTTATACACACCGGTGAGAAGCATTTTCTCTGCAAGTTTTGTGGCAAGGTAAAAGCTCGCTTGCAAACTGATTCTAGTGTTTCTTCTCCCCTCGACGCTTCTTCCAGGCATTCTCTCTCGACTTCAACCTGCGATCACACATGCGTACGCACACCGGCGAGAACTACCATACGTGTCCATACGAAGACTGCGGCAAGCGCTACGCACACGAGTACAAACTCCGTGGTCACTTGAAGACTCACCATGACAAGGTAGAGTTTTTCATCTCTATGGACTTAACGCGCTCTCTTTTTCTTTCTCGCAGCTCTTGCCGGATGGGAAACAAGTGCCACTCACGCTAGAGTCGGACACTTCAAAGACTTCTCCGGCAGCAACAGCAGCAGCAGCAGCAACCGGCGGCGGTCGACCATTCGCATGCCCTTACAAAGGTTGTGACAAGCGCTACTTCTACGAGTACAAGCTCAACCTCCATCTCAAGAGGGGGCATGTCAAGGAGGAGATGGTGGAGCACAACGGCAGCGACGAGTTTAGCGATGGCAGCGATCCGGAGCATTCGGTCCGGGGGCCCGGGAAGGGAAAGATGAGGCTGGGAGGAGGAGGAGGAAATTCAAGGCCGGCATCCACAGCGGCGCCGCGAGCCAAGAGAAAGAAGACGGTGGCAGCGGGAGGAGGAGGAGGAACGTCGAGCGGCATGACGAGGATACAAGAGGCGGCGGTGGTGGAGACGAACTTGGTGGGGAGGAAAGTGATAATCAAGCACGAGATCCAGGAAGATAGCGAGGAGACCGAAGACGAGGGGCGGGATGATCTGATGGACGATGCCGGGGTGAACGATGAAGTGTTTGAAGATGATGAAGAAACTGAGGACGATGTGGACTAGTTACTTTGGTCTCTTTACTTTTGCGTGTTTTACTTGTACAAAATGCGTAAACAAATTAAGGTGATTAAAAGAAAATGAAGAAAATCAAGGTTGCGCGGGCAAGCCCACATGATTTCTAGTCATGTCCACCTTGGCTGCTAGTTCTGAAGGTCAAGAAGAATGAAGAGGACGGATTCTTCAATTCTTGTAAATATTATTGCATTTTGGAAAGCAAATTATTTTCTATTCAATAAGACAATTCTAGCTTAAGCAGCCAATATGTTTAGAATAATCTAATGTCCACCAAGCTCTGCTTGGATATGTTGTCAAGTAGCTTACCAGTTTACAATTATCTTCAACTGTAATATAAGTTAAAAGTAAACAGTTTGGTTTGTCATAACAATACATATTGGGAGACCATAATACATTTCGTTTAGAAGTATATAACACTAAATTTCCATCAATTTGCATATCTAAAAAACACTCTCCAAAATATTCATTATTTGGAGATTCCCATAAATTAGTTTTTCCAGAAAAAAATGTAAGTTTACAATTCATTTTGATATATAGTATATTCATACGATTTGGGGATTGTAAAAATTTACCTTTATATAAAATATGATCAGAGAAACCAGCATTTAAAGTAGTCAAAGTAATATCACAATTTTCAAAATATCTGAAAACTCTATTTATATTTTCTAAATAATTTAATGGTTTCCAATGAGTTACTAATATATATCGAATAAGATAATTATTAGACACAATTCTACATTCACTAGAAAGTGCTAGTAATAAATCATTTATTACCTTTTTAATGATTTCATTTATTGATTTTTGGAGAGAACCACCTAAAACTAGTTTTCCAGTTGAAATTCCTGTAGAACAATATAGAGTACTTCCAGCTAAATGTTGAATTCTTATAACAACACCTCCTCCATCAATATCTATTAAATCAGTATCAATATAATTTTGTCGATAAAGATGAGATTCATGTAATTTTAGTGCAAGTCTTTTAATGTGACCTAAAATTGTATTAATATCTTCCTCAGTAAGTGAATTATTCTATATCTATTTTACCAAATACAATTCCATAATCTATAATTAAACTAAATAGAAATAAAATTATAAACATTAAAAATGAATTTCAAATAAAATTTAGAGTTATTTTTATATATAAAGAAAATAAAACAAAAATTAAATTTTTGAATTATGATATATGTTAATTTATAACTTTGTGATTGTCACAACTTAGAAGCCACTAGCTATATGAGAGATTCGTTTATTTTTATATATATTAATATGATATAGCCTAGACTTGAGTAATATTATTTTTTATTTTTTATTTTTATTAAAATATATCTTGTAAGCTTGGGTTTAGATGGCATGGCTAATGTTCACTATTCAATCCATTTCTCTGAAAACCAAATGTTGTTTGACAGTCATCAGAAACATTTATTAGATGTTCTCTATTTCTTTGACTATAGCTCTAACTCTACACTATTTTTCCACTCCAAAATTGCCACTTGTGCAAGGAGTGCTCCCAAGTTGATGCAACAAGCAGTCTAAGCCACACAGACATGCCACCATCCTTTGTGGAACTCATAGTTGAGGTGGATAGAGTTAATCATCAGTGCTTTGTCTATGGTTCCTTTCTGGGTGGTAAGGATAAATTGCATTGTTTCATTCCATGCTTGCACTTTCACCAGTAAAAGCTCTGGCTCCATACAGAGAATTCCATTGTGCATTCAGTTCTGAAGGCAATGTAATTGTGTTCATTTTTTTATATTTTCGAATGACACCATGTGTAAGTTTTATTTGACATGTACGAAGTTGCTATGCATACTGGGATTTATCCCACTCCGTGTTTTGCAGGCACGCCGGATCGAGATGGTCGGGCCCCAGCCTGACGCAGTTGATGTAATTCACCAAGCTGTGGCCGGCGATCCCAGGCACGAGCAAGCCTGCAATCCTTGCCACAGTGGACAACCTCGTCTCGCTAAACTCCCCGCCATATCTATAGCTCATGAAGAAGCTCTGGACGAGCTCGAACAGCGCGTAAAGCCGGGACAGCACCATGTAAACCGGGGAGAGGAAATTGGGAAATGGCTCGTCCGGAAGGATCTGTGCAGAACGTTAATATGGATCCTACACAGAGAGCAGTGTCTCGAAGTAAAGTACCTGGAGGGTGTAGTTGTAAGTGAAGTAGCAGCAATTCCCGAAATGCTTGAAGCCAAACAGAGAGTTGTCGAAGGGAACTCGAGCTACCATGTCGTTATTGTAGACAACTCTAAAGTACCTCATGGTTGGCTTGTTTAAGCTGGTGTCCATGAAGGACGCAAAGCTCTTGTCTCCAACGTGGGGCTGGCCAAACGTATAGAGCGCCGCGAGCCTCCTGGCAACGTCGTCCTCGGTGTTGTAAAAGACTCGATTCTCTTCCCGGTTGTAGAAGAGCATGGCGGTGAAGAGAGTCGCCAGAGCGCCGCCGAGGCTGTGACCGGTGATGTAGAGCTTTGCGTTTCTGTGGTTCCGGAGGATGGTGACGAGCTCCGCACTGATGTGGTCGTACGCGAGCAGCTTCCTCTCATCGCTGAGGACAAAGTCGGGTAATCCAGATGTTGGAGTCTGTGGCAACGGAGTCCTCGAGTTCTCGTAGATGTTCTGCTTCAACCTCTGGAAGCTTTGCATCCTGTTCCTGTCGCCCAGCCCCAGTGCTTCGAGGAATCCGAGATGGACACGGCCGAGCTGCGGGAGCTCGTACCAGGAGAAATCCAAGTCTGTGCACCAGTCGTATGCATTGAAGGCTTCCGTTCCCCGGAAGGCAAGAACGATGGCTTCTGCATCAGTTTCCCGGTCGGCGAAAATGAAAGCTTGAGTCGAGCGTTTTTTCTGAAACTCTGTAGCATGAAAGAGAGACGGCAACGTCAGATGAAACTGGATAGCGAGAAAAATAACCTCTTACCGTTCCAACAGTTGTAAGTTCCTAGTAGATGCATCTGCAAAGGAGAGAGTCGGAGGTTGTGCAAGGCTCGGACTTACCTTCCAATTCTGATTCACGACAAATTCGATGAACTTCGGGCTCATACGCAACTTTAGACGCCATAGCACAAACATCTGCTACCGCTTTGGAGTCTGGACATGAAAGACACAGACGCTGAGACGAAGGGGCTTGGAGGAGGCTGGTTCTTGGTTCCATGTGGCCGTTGAAAGTTAGGTAGCTCTCCGAATCCTCGGAAGGATCAACAAGCGCTGGAAGAACAGCACACAATTAAAAGTCAACACCGTGAAATCAATTCTAGTTACCTTGTGGATCCATCGGAAGAGTATACAAGGTCCTGAGAATTCCTCCATTGGATGCACGAAGGTTAATTGCCTTCTCCACCCATCTTCCAAAGTGCTTCAGTGGTTGAGAGACAGACCTCACGCTCCGGAGCATAAACAGAGAAAATCACGCTCTCCAATCCAAGTTCACACTCCCGACTTCCAAAGAATGCGAGATGTGAGGCCACAGATACGACCACACGCTCGTATAGTGTGCTACGAGATAGCATCTATCATCTGCGACACGGGTGCCCATACTGGAAAAAGCCTCACAATGTCGAAGATCAAGAGCGAAGAGAAGAATAAGAGGATAGCTTGAAAACATGACCACAACTCCTTATCAAAAAGAGGATTTTATAGAGTGCTAAGTCTTCTGGAAACAACTCGGCAACCGCGGAAACTTCAATCCCGCACGTATCCTCCTGCAAGTTTTTGCAAAAACACGAGGTTAGCGCCCACACTGTGTACTTTGCCTGCTAGCCTTCCACGCCGATCTCAACATCCTGGCCGTCGTCGCTGATCTTTCGGAACTTTCGCTGCCACCTCTGTTGTTGCGTTTGAATTCCTGAGTCGCGACTCGGCCTTCCCTGTGTTGATACACCTGCTTTCCCGGACATATCCTCATTTTAGCGCCTCCGTCCGGAAGACTCGGACCACTTCCTCGCCCGGAGCGCTGCACTTTCTTTCTGCCGCAACGTTGCTCGAGTATCTTGCTTGAATGAAAGCACCTGGAGAATAACGAAGTCGTCCCAAAGGTCCGAGAGATGGGACTTCCAAACTCTCTCTCCTTAAGACCGAATTCTGACCGGTAATCTGACCGAAATCTGCTGAGTGCTCGAGCCAATAGAAAGGTCTTCATCTGGACTGCTAAACCTCCATCTATCAACCCGTGATGGCCACAACTCTTCCTCGGAACTGCATTGCGTCAGCCTTGCTGCTATAAACCGTTGTCGGGTATGAAAGAACTTCAGGAAAACAAGAGCTCCTCCTTGGGCTCCTCGAGAGAGGCAACACAAAAGGCCCGCCCAATGGAGCTTCACATAGCTGGCCATGTTTCTTCTTCACACTTCTTCTGGCCTTTTTCACCGATGTAGTTTTGGAGGCAGTCAGTGCTCTGATTCTCTTCTCAGCGTTAACCAGGATGATATGAAGGTCGGCCATATCGCTTTTAGATGGTAGTTCGTGTGGCGCGGGATCGTCAACTCTGAAACTCTGAAAACATATCACACAAGAAAAGAAAAGGAGAAAAGGTTCAGCTTCTAGCCATCTTCTACGATGGAAATAAAAGCAAGGCACTCACCGCTCGGTTGGATTCGCTTTTAGGCTTATTGTTCTTCGCCAGCTGGAGTTTCCAGTAAGTTGAAAACGGAGCGCGTAATCGAACCGAGCATCTTCGCAGGAGACGAGCGGAATCAAACTTAACAGTTTGTCTTTAACCGCATCGGGACGAACAATTATGGAATCTCTTATCAAAAGTTCTTGTCCAATTGAGTTCAGTGATTTTGGAGTCATCTGGTCGATGTAAAGGACACCCTGTGCGAACAAATACCACGGCCACCTTGATGTTTGCACAGAAAAAAAACAAACGAGACATTACCTCCAGGTGAGCACAGTCCAAAAGAGCCCCGGAATTTCATCTTGTCGAACACGCTCAGCCAACGATAAACACTTGAGAAATTCAGGTTTTCCAATTTTTTATAGCTGTGCTGGAAGTATATGTAAAGATCTTTTCGCGATCTCTTGAAACTATACCTCGATCTTGTCTCTACTCCCACGCTGCACTGCCGAGTGTAGCCACTACAATGCCACCTGTTTGCTTGTCCATTGACAATCCAGGAAATGCCAAACTTGGCTGCCACAAAACGAGCGATTGCTCCTTCCACAGGCCTGCACTGCAATAGAGCTTGACCATGAGCATGTCACAAGCCAAGTCACTGGAGCCACTGTCCAGACTCCACGAAGCGATCAAACACACCTGCAAATTTGGTGTGCGGTTATCCTTTTGGTATTGTTTTTTTAATATAATTTTTGCATTATGTATTAATTTTCATTTTCATATGGTATATAGTATATAAATTATTTTTCACAGAAACATTGTTATCCAAATAGTTTTCTAGAGTTTATATGCTATATAATTATTCATATAGATTATAGTTTGATCAAATTATTCATGTCACAGCCGACCATCTAATCTACCCAGTTTATTATAAGCCTATATTATCCAATATCAAACAGCAATGTCTTTAACTCATCCATCCTTGAAAGTGTTTACTTGCCTATGTAGGTAAACAAAAAACTCAATATTATTCACTAAGAATTGCAAGATGGATCTTTCAAATATGAAATTTTTGGAATATTATCGATGCTCTCCAACAATTTGATCTATATAGTTTGCATTAATGTAACCTCCACAATATGGGCAAGCCTTCCTTAAAGTTCTATTATGTCCTCAATTAAAATTTATATTGCTGTTATTGGAAAATACTTTGGGAAATTGATGTGAAACCATATCTAAAACTATATAAAAACACCACAAAAAAGTGTTATAGTGAGGGAGAATAAACTTCCCTCAGCAAACTCCCAATAGGAAAATTGTATATATGATCGGAACACATAAAATCAAGAGTTAAAATATGCCATCTAGTGTGTTTATCTACCTCTAGCCTACCTCTAAAAATGTGATATTTAAGAAAAAAAAACAGAAAAAAGTGCCTTAAACATTGTAATTATAATTCTTATACTACTTTGCTATTAAATAAGTCTAAATAATATAAATTTTCCGATAATTAAAATTATAATAATTTTCTGCATGCTGCATGCAGCAACATTTGGTTTGCTTAATAGTATTGCTTATTATTTAATAATATAATTGATTAACTGGAAGTTAATAAAGACTAATCTTATTACATATCAACCATTAAATAAACTAGAATATACAAGGAAGTATTTAGGAAAGCTTATAAATTATAATTATATCTATTAAAATTACAAATACAAGATTAATCTAAGTGAATAACAATCATTAGATAGTAGAATATCCTAGAATATCCAAGTATATTCTACACTACTCTAAGCAAATCAAAACTGTGAGGGCCAAGTGTACGGTTACGATGCCATATACTAATATTAGCGTAGTGGGATTTTGGTAGCTGTCGGATTAGTTTCAATCTGGACCACTCGCTCCTGTATATAAGCTAGGGTTTTTGGGCTAATTGATATGCACATTTCTGTATTCTCTTTCCATATTCCAAGCACTCACATTGGTGGAGGTGAGGGGCACCTTTGATTGTCCTTGAGGAGTGCTTGGATTTGGGATTTTGGTTTAGATCTAGCTTTTGCATTGTCTAGATCTAGCTTTTTCCATTTCCTTCTTTTTGTTCTTTCCTTTCAGGATTTTGGTTTAGATTTAGCTTTTGCATTGTCTAGATCTACCATTTCCTTTTAGTTTTTTGTCATTTCTCTTCTTTTTCTTTTTCATTCGTCTCCATGGCAAATCAGCAATCTCCTCCTTTGACTCTCGAGTAGTAGTTGGTCCAATTGCTTGATGCTATGCACTTGCAATTGAACAACCAAACTCAATTGATGGCGACATTCACAGCACGTGGTCCAACTCCTCTTGCTCTTGGTGCCAATCCTCGCGTTCGGCCGGAGTTCTTTCGTAGGAATCCTGGGGATGATATATACCATGGTTTGATCACTTCACGGTGATTGCCACATATCATTCTTGGGATGGTGCTCGACGGTTGCTGAGTTTCCCACGTGTCTCCAAGGGACGGCATTGTAGTGGTACAATGGTTTGAGCACAGCCACTCGTGGGGATTGGAGTGTTCTCCCGGATGTCTTCAAACGCACCTTCGGACATGCCGATGATTGTGATGATGCTTTCCAACAATTGCATCGTCTTTGCCAAGGGCCATCTGAGTCAGTGATGCAATTTGGTGTTCGTTTCCGAAGTCTTTTGCTTCGTGTGGAGCCAAATATGTCGGAGTGGATCAAGCTAGGAATGTTGTGGCCAGCACTTCGTCAAGATCTTGTCGGATTTGTGCATACACTTGCTCCTGCCACCCTTGACGATGCTCTTTTCTTGGCACAACGTTATGAGACGTCGCCTCTTCCACTTCTCGCTGCACATCCTTCCGCTCCACTTCCTATGGGTGATGGTCCTGTTCCAATGGAGGTTGATGCTGCTGCTGCTCGAGTCCAAGGACAAGTGCGAGGACGTGGTCGTGGCCGTGATGTTCGCTGCTGGGCGTGTGATGAAGTTGGTCATACTTATCGGTGTTGTCGTCGTTTTCCGGATTGGCGACCTCCATTTCCTGGGTGGAGACCTTGGCGTCAGCAACGTCCCGTGGGTGCTGCTGCAGTGGAAGGTCTGGACACCGAGATGCATCCGGGAAACGAGGAGTCGCGTGAGTAACGGAGGGACCTTGCGCAAATAAGTTAGTGACCCCTTCATCTTTCTTTCGGGAGTATCATCAAGGGGTTCACTCAGCACCGGTTCATCCAGTGTTTACTTTCCAAGCTCGTTTTTATAACAAGAGGTCTCCTATTATTCTCTCCGTGTTGGTTGATACAGGTTCGAGTTTATCTTCTATTGCTTAACTTGTTGCCACACGTTGTCGTTTACACTTGCGTCGTGCGGCAGAACCAGTTTTCATTCTTTATGGCAATGGCCGTACACATGCATATGCACAGGATGAGGTGGACCTGGTTGTGCGTGTGGGCGATCTCGAGCTTGAGTTGCAGCCGTTGCG